CCCCCACCCCCACCCCCACCCCCACCCCTGCAAAAAAAGCTACTCCGAGAGGGCTTTGAGCGCGAGGTGCTCCTGCACGGCGAAGAGGTCGAGACCAACGCCCGCGAGAGTCTCGAGGATATCGAGTCCCAGGGTCGTGGTTGCCGCCCGGGAGCCTATGGCCGGAAGCTGCAGTACGCAGACCCCGATTTCCCCCCAGACAACTCCTCCGTGGGGAATGCGCAGTGCAGGCAGCAGCTGGCCTCGCAGTGGAAGGTCTGTTTTGTTGGAGATTTTGCGGATTGTGGGATGGTAGAAAACACTTGTCGACCATCCCGCCCTACTAGTTTTGTTGGTTCAATTGGTTCTGGTGGTGGTGGTTGTGGTGGTGTGTTGTGGACGATATTTGCTGTTAGCGTGGAGGTTTGATGTTGCGTGCGATTGGTATTGTTCCCGTTGTTCTCGCGTTGAAGAAGAAGAGACGAAGTCGTCTGACATCAGGGTGTCGCATTCGTCCGAATTTGCAACTCGAACGGCAGTAAGAACTGTCGAGAGCACATCCAGCAGCAGCCAACAGCGTTGTTATTTACAACTAGCTTTAGCATGCCGAAGATAACCATCCTCTTTGTATGATCCTTCATGTTGGCCACTTGAAGGTATCACTGGCTGTAAACCCAGACATCAGGCTTTTCGATGACGGAACGGATCCAGACGATGTCCGGCGAGGAGCCTTCGCTGACTCGTGGCTGCTATCGGCCCTCAGCATCATTTCCGCGGCCTCGGTAGGGGACGGGGGCGTCGACGAACAGGTGCGTAAGCGTGATTGAGCAGAGGCTGACGAGCCCACATTGATTGGGAGCGGTTGCACCGGCTCACAGCCCCTTTCGCATTTTGCATCGAAACATATCGAGTGCAACATGATCTAAACGTCACACTGCCGGCACACAAGACAACCACCGCGGCGATATCCATAGCGTTCGATTCTGAGATCAAAGGGTTGCTGGACCTTGCACGTTCGACCCCAACTTGCCACGGGTTGAACACGCATGTCGTCGCTGCGGGCGTCGGGAAAATTGTTCATTTGTGAAAATGACCACGGTCGCGGGCTTAAATGTTCTTACCTCCGAGCACCCCCTAAAGGACGAATGGACCATTGCCAACAACATGCGTGTTTAGCGGCGTGGTATTGCTTCTTGCTGTCCTTGCACCCATACCACCGCACTGTGATTCCAGATCGCTCAGCTGTTCGTGAGTCCCATCGGGGGCGACGGCCGCCCGGTGTTGGAGTCCTACACGGGGGCCTACGCTGTGAAGATCACCGTCGGCGGAAAGTGGCAGGTACGTTGCTCGGGAGGTTCACGCAAGCACACGACCAGCTGCCAGATACCCCGACGGGCCATCCGACACGCACGTCGCTGTTGTGCTTTCGCTCTTGCAGCATGTTGATCAATCGTTGGATCGGTTTTGATTGCATTGAATTTACGAACCCTTGTGCCTTCATGCCTATGTTGTCGCTCCAAGAACCTGCCAAGGGCACGCCTAAAACATGAACAAGGTGTGCAAAGCCATCTCAACAGGCTGAACAATAGGGTCGATGAAGACGTACCGAGCCTTTTTCTCCCTCTAGGAACCTTGAGAAATTAAGAGTGGATGCATCCTTAACCGCGTTCGCCACTGAAATCCCCACAATGCGAACAACTTTATCAGGTGGTGATAGTGGACGACTACTTCCCCGCCCTCGAGGCCAGCCAAGCGGACGACGACAACAAGGGACTAGCGGTTGGGCACAGCTACGGGGCTCGCGAGCTGTGGGTATCGCTCTTAGAAAAGGCGAGGGGAACCGTCGAGTCGCATTTACTGACCCCTAGAACTGTCGTTCACGCAAGTTCTCCCCGTGTACGTAGCCTAAAGTGTTATTTGACGTGCTCTCACATCAACCCACCCGTCAATCAGGTGAAAAAGTCAGATTGCAATATTGCTGAGGGTGCACCAACATTTGATGTAGAGCCCGCTGGGCTACGCACATAACCACACCCATACGCGCACACACCCACGCACGTGCGTGTTCACACGATAGCCACTCCTTCCGCCGCTGCCCCACCCCCTGTTTTACCACCGTCAACCTCCTGTTCAACAACTTCCGCCTGAATGATGCGTAGGCCTACGCCAAGTTCTTCGGCAGTTATGCCGCCTTGGAGACTGGCCATGTGCACCACGCGCTATCGGCCTTCACGGGGGCCCAGTCAGAAGAAATCTTCCTGGCAGGGGCGGGCAGGGGGGTTGGCAAAAAGAGCCTGTGGAAGAAAATGACCAAGTGAGTAACTACAGGGTGCATGAGTAGGCGGGTGGGTGGTTGGGGTTAAATGGTGAACAAAAGAGGGAGAATCGTCCACAAGGAAAGACGATATCGACAGCGTTTGAATAGTCCACAGTCCACAGCAATAACAGGCATGCTGACGGCCTAGCGACGTTAATTGCCTTCACTTCGGCCAGTGAATGCCGCCGTGAGAATGTGTCAACTATGCAGTTTACGATCGAAGGGCTTACATGACTAGACAGCATGCTTCTCTGTTTTGGGAGGTGAATGACCGTTTTTTTGTCTTTAACGTGACTTAGAACGAGGGGCGTACTCACAACAAAGGCGCACAACATCTTGTAGGAAGTGTTCGGCATCACTGGTTACATGCTTGTCTAGAAATGAGGAAAGCCCTGGGGAAACAGGAGAAACAAAGAGAAATAATGACGAGAACCTTTTTCGATCGTTTTCCGCGTTCTGAACTTCTTGGCGCAAGACCACCCTCTCTCCCCTCCCCCGCCCCCCACCCCCGGACCCCACATTTACTCTGGTAACGGACGGTGACGTGCGATGCATGGCATCTGCAGATACAAACGCAACGGATACCTGCTTGGGGCTGGTACGATCACCGGAAACCTCGTCGAAAAGCAGGTAACACAACACGTTTTCAGGACCGAAGGGGGATCTATCTATTGTACGGTGCCCACATACCTCGACATGACTGCGTATTATGTGGTTTCTGTTCGTCCCTATCGCGCATGCTGTGGAATAGTCCCACTATTGTGCGAAGGCGTGTTCACAACTAGGTTGCTCACTCGCAGATAAATAAAAAATGTCTAAATGCCCACCGGGGTTTATGCGCTCAAGCATCGGGGACCCAGGCCACAACAGTTGTAGGAAATTCACGTATTCGACTGCAACAGCAGTACCGTCACTAAAATCCTCTGAGGACATTGCGCTGTGACAGATGATATTCAAGAAAGTAAGACCAATGACCCCCAAGGCCTTCCGCCCCGGGGTGTTTCTTTTTTCATCCCTCTGCGTTTGGGAGCGCCCCGACGATAAAAAAAGGCCCGTGGGTGGCCACATCATTCAGACGAGAAACGAACACCTCGGGATGTTCTCGAAGGTAGGGAAGGGGGGGACGAAAAACGATAACCCCGGGGGGGGGGGGGGGGGGGGGGTACTCATATTCGTGCATGCCGTAGTCGTTAGACCATTGACCTCGCATCCCTACAAAGCCGGGACGGAGCACGCCGGGTTCTCACCGGACCAGGCTCTCACATCACCAAGCGCGAAGCGCCGTGAGGTATTCGGCGAGTCGCATGAAGGGTGCGCTGCATCCTGCTAAGGGTTTTCGGCATCTTGTGCTTACTTCCTTGCGTACGGATGACAGCTACGTATGAATTAATTTATTTTCTGGTGCTTTCACTTCCAGAGACAGTTGTAAGCACTGTGTAACTGCCTCGAGGGTGCTTGACCATTTTAACACAACGTGGTGCGATCATCCCCCTTGCGCGGAGTGAGGGTTCTCCACCCCGCACAACATGATCTACTCGACCACCGGGGCGTGCTAAAAGTTTCTGCCAATCGCCGGCGGTTTCTTCGTGGAGGGGGGGATTCTCATGACGGGGGGCGTTCTCAAAACCATTGCGGTATGTGTGTGACTTGCGTCGGTTGCAATTCACAACGATCTCAGGTCCAGGACATAGGTCTCGTCTTTGGGGCGGCGTACACTATCCTGGACGTGAGAGACTCGGACGGGGAGCAGCTCATCAAACTCAGGAACCCCCCGGGGGACCACGAGGTACACTTCGGGAGGGTACAAAGGTGTTCGGGAAGTACCTAGGGCGACGTGTGAGGCAGCAGAGTTTATGGCTGCACACGTGCCAAGCGTAGGGTGGCTTCTTGCGGCTTGCGTGATGGTGATCGGGGTGCGAGGATGGTGGTAGCGCTACTGACGCTGTTCGTCTAGCTACTTTTGGAATAATATGGGAGTCAAGCAACCACACGACTGCATCAATGGTGATGTGAGCAAGTCTTTTCTCTTTTGGAAAAGATAGAGATACTCATACTTCCTCAGCACACTGAGGCTTTGAGGCCGAAACATAAGGTAGAACATGCTTGGAGCCTAAGCTCTGCACATCTACGAACCCAAATGATTGGTGTGATGCAGTGATTTCCCAAAATAGAGCAGCTCTCTCTCGAGTGACTTCCAGGTGACGACAGGTTGGGGGGTGATATCCGTCCGTGGAGTACTACGATTTTTACCAGTATTAGGACCAGCATAAAGTACCAATATCTCATCGATCTGGTATCAGGAATGGAGAGGAGACTGGGGGGACAACTCAATGCTGTGGACACGCCGCCAACGGGCCCGCCTGGGGTGGGTGAAGAACGACAAAGACAACGCGTTTTGGATGTCGTTCAACGATTTCTGCGTCGTGTTCCGAAGCCTGTACGTCTGCCGGTGGTACGACCCACGGTAAGCGAGAAGGAGATAGGAGGAGGGCTTTGGGCGGGGGGCGTTCTTGTTTGTGGATTGGTTTGTTTTCTGGTGAGCGATCTGCATCCCGACTGAAACGAGCGGTATACTTCCTATTCCTGGCAGTTGGACCTTGAGTTTGCGGTTAGACACCCTAGATTATGAGGTGAACGTACTGTAGTAAGAGGTTCAGAGAGATATGCTAATCTCTGTATTGTCGAGGGATCGTGAAATGTAATTCTTTCTTCGAACCCCTTTCCCTGTGCCCGCTGCACAACCACCCACCCACCCCCGCCCTGCCTGCCAACACATTGACGCATAAAACAATAGACGATGGACTCGCCTCGAGCAGTCGGGCAGCTGGGAGATGCGCGAAGATCTCGACACCGCAGCCGGCCTTCCCTCTGCCCAGCAGAAGGTAAGATCTTGCAGCCGATCTACTGCTATCTCGGCAGAGAAGAGTGATTCCCCTGTCCGTTCTTCAAGCGGCATGGAAGTACGATGACTTCCGTACCCGAAGGTATAGTCCGAGTTATCGCACACAACCTGGGCCGACTTTCACACATCGATTGCCCCATATCCAAGGGGCTGCCAATGCCGCAAAGGGTGGCGTTCGGCGGAACTCGTCGAGAACTTTTCTTGCACGGACCCGTCGGTATTCGTAGTCTCTTGGTTGCGGAGCAGCGGAGGTCAGTCTAGTGGGGGGTGCGATCACGTACTACGGACAGCATGCGGCGAATGTAGAAAAACGATACTCTCAACCCCGAGTCTTCGTCTCCCGTGTAAAATGTTTTGTTGTTCCTATCAACGGGCCTGTGTAACCGAACAAGGTGTGCGAGCTGGAAAACAACCCGCAGTTCGTCCTGGAGGTGAACCGCATCACAGACCTCAAGATATCCTTGATACAGGTGAGGGCACGCGTTTTGGCTTCAAGCATTCATCCCCGTTTGTGTGGATATTTTTCGTTAGGTTGGACACTTCACTGTAACTACCGTACAAGATGTGCAACCGAGCGCAATGCGCGACCAAGTTCGCCGACTTCCAAATGCCAGCAACACTTCGAACATTATTCCCCCCCAACTCCTGATGCCCTGTTTGCTACGGACATACCGCATACCTTTTGAAAATTCTTTGAAAAAGACTGACGACGAGGTCCAGCCAGCGGCGTGTTTCGTCCTTCGAGAGGACGAGGCGACGTCCAGCACACAGCCGGAGAGATTCCCTGCCAGAGTCTCGAGGCTTTCGAGGGAGGTGGTGGTGGCAAGTACAGGCCCCCCCGCGCGGCAGCGAGAGCGGAACATCTACGTGACCCTCGCGTCGGGTACCTACGTGGTGATGTGCGCCGCCTTTTTGGCCGGCATGGAAGGGTCTTTCAAGGTGCGGTGCAACTGGAGCAACTGTGGTCGGGGGGGGAAGTCCATCTTGGGTGGACCTTTGTGAAAGGGTGTAGATGGAGCCAAATTTCGCCCTACATTGTCACAATGTTTGTGTCTGATAGCCATTGCGTATTTTCACCACCACAAGCGCAGTACAGTTCTATTGATCTTCTGACGCAACGCGATACGAAAGGTTGTTCCGGCCATTCTCTCGAGATCATGGGATGGGCAACAAAAGTGTTTTCAATGAAAACGGTGGCAGACGCGGTTTCATCCATTATGTAACTGCCTGTATTGATACTGTTCCTTGTGTGGGGGACAAACATGTCATTGTGACACGCATGGGTTGTGGTGTGGGATATCGTCGGGCTGACAAGACGACCTTGTTGCTTCCTCTGTTCGAGTGTTTCTTGCATGAAGCAGTACGTGGTTTCAACCCCAACAGTCTCACGTACGTTTGTGCTACCAGGAACAGCAGGTCGGGTTGCGTTCACGTGCTCCTCTCTTGTTCCCGCCCCCCCTGTACGGCTGTTGTTGGTTGCCTCTAACTCCGGCATGGAGAAGGTGGAGATCACGACGAACTCCCCGCAACTCAAGTTCCGCAAACTTTGGCCGCCAGCCGACCCTAGCGAGCTGGAAAAGGTATGTGTTGCAGACCCACAGTGTATCTCTCTCCCGTTATGACCTCTACTCCATGCGCAAGACATTGTGCGCACGCACATACAACCTCCCCGACAACCAGAAGCCGCTTTGTTCGACGCTCGAACGGCTATGACTATCGTCAATGTGAAATGAAACCCCCAATTAAATTGTTCACAAAAGCCATCGAAACAATTTTCGTTTGAATTGTTCTACATAGACCACTTCCGAGACATCATGTTTATGAATGTTGTGGATACCCAGAAAAACACATCTCATGAAGTCGTCGCAAGAGTTGGTTCGGTTGAATTTGACCCCTCCTCCGTCGGCGCGTATGATGTTACCCGTAGGCGTTCGACGACAGCAAAGCTGCCGGGCGCATCGCTAACATGGGCCTCGAGAAGCTGGGGGCGATGAGTGCCGGACTGGGCGACAAGCTCAACGACAACGCCGACAAGGCGTTGAATAAGGCCAGAGCTTTGGAGGTAAAATATCTGCCAGCCTTATGAGCGAAATATGCCGTGTTTAATACTGGAGTACATTTCTTTCCATACGTGTTGAATCCGACGTGAGGCAAGTATAAAGTATTCCACACACCGCCAGTCGTACATTGCTATGAACGAGTCGCATGTTTTCTGCGTCGGTATCTCACCAGGTTGTGCCGACCGCAACAGTCGTGCCGAAAACAAACACATTTTCATCAACATATCTACCAAAAGTCATCTCTATCCAGTCATGGATAACGTCAAGGACATTTTTTGTTTTTCTGCCGTGCTCGGCCATTGAAAGGGTATAGTCATGCCCAGAGGGAGAGAACAGAACAGGAACAACACGAATGTTGGCTTGCCTATGGGCTCTCTCCCACCACCAAAATGTCGTCTGTGTCGCTTGTGTAGGTCGGTCCTTTCCCGGTAGGTCACTTTGTTGGATTGCCAACTTATTGAATCGGTGCGACCATCAATCACCCCACGACGACGGGTGAACACTTGTTTTTGATCCCGCGTTTGTGTGTGCGCTTTGCAACCAACCAATCTCTAGATGGGCCTCAAGGTAGCCGCCGCAAGAGAAAAGGAAGAGCGTGCGAAGGAGGACGCAGAGCTAGACGCTGAAGATGGTAGAGGAAGGCAGCAAGAGCAGCAGCAGCGCGTGGTCGAAAATCCATACCCCTAGCGTATGCCACATGCAGCATGCAGAGCCGCATGATGTCGTGATGCCGAATTGTATAGTCTAGTACTTAGACTAATACTAGTAGATAGCAAGATTTAAACCGTAGAAGATTAGCTGTTTCTGTAGTCTAGAACACGGACGGGGAAGCGCGTGGGAGAGGTTATTGAGGAGATCAGGAGCAAGCATGTGATCCAATGCAGACAAAGCACGTTCGGCCATCCATGAAACTGGTTGCTTTGAAATGTCGCCTTAGACTACACGGTGACTGATGCCTCCGGGAGGACAAGCATTGGGAATTCGTTCAAGAGTCTTCTGGTCCTGAGATGTATGTATGTTAGGTTAGATAATGGACGGTCGGACTAAGAGAGGTCAAGACCGCGTTGAAAACATATTTTCTCCACTGGCGTAAGGAAGGGGCCCTCATTTTACCAGAAACAAAGCTTGATGTTGGTCAGCAAACGGGCACACGTGCGTTTTCTCATTTCAACCGTTGAGGATAGTATTTTGTACCAGTCGTTGCTTTCGTGACAGTCTTTCAGCTACACTGGGGTCTTTTCTGGGGTCCATCGAGTCCATCTACTTGAGACGAAGCCCAAAATTCGGGGGGTGGGAAGCCGGGAGGATGTGGTAGTTGTGGCGTAAGTCTACTTTACACCACATGCTTGAATTCACGTCAGGGGCATCTTGGAGGCCGGCATACGAAGGTGCTACTGTAGCTAACACGAATAACATCGAACGTGAGCTCACGCTGATGTGTTCGCAGTACTGTTTCAGAGCGTTTCGGAAACAACGCATCACTGTTCCTCGTCTATGATGCCACCAAAACTCTGGGCACGGCTGTACTGCTATCCTGCCTAACGGGAGGAACACGGGAGGAAGCACAGAGTACAAAGCTGGGAACATTCAAACGCATGATAACTGGGGACACGCTACGAAAGTGTCTTGGACGATCCCTCTCTCTCGCCTTCGTCTCTGGTACAAAAGATAATGCCCTAAGCTCCTGGCTTTGTGAGAAAGAAAGAGTTCCTGTCCCCCATCTCCCAACCTTTGTGGCAAATGATCATCCGCGCTCACGATCAAAGAAGCCTTAGCGCGCAATGCACCTGGTTGTTCCGCATTGCGGTGAAGCGCCGTAATTTTCCTTTTTGTCGCACATGCGCGCTCGACTGTGCGACTCGCAAGCTTCGCCACCATGTACGGCAAGCAGGGGCATCTCCCATACGAGTCGTTAGATACCGACGACACATTCGTCAGAACAGAACACCACAGGAAGCCCGTTTCATCCATTCGTGCGACGTGTAGACTATACGTGGAGACCATGCCACCCCCTCCGACGCCTGGACTATGCCAACCCCTCCTGCATGAACCCTCACCATGCGTAGGTCGATGAGCGATGGCTCCGGCCACGCTCGACAATGACAACAACCAGGCACAGGGAGGTAACACACCAAATGCGTCAACTACAGCTCCACCAAGTTGCACCCTAGAAAAACCGCGCTCTCCCACTAAATGTACCCGGGCACGACCTGTGCCGAGGGACTGCCTTTCCAACCCTTTGATCTTCGCAATCCGCACGCCTTGTTGGAGTTGAACTCCAGCCCCACCGCCTGTGCAAGGCACTGCCCGAGACCGTTGATCGCCTGCGCATACCACAGCAGCCACACAAAGGAAACGGACATTTTGGAGGCGGGCGCGGGCGCGAGGAGGGGTGCATGGGTTGGGTATGCCACAACAGGAAGCTTGAGCGTTCGATCTGAGAAATAACGGAACGTAAGAGGAAAGCAGTTGCACAATAGGTGGGTGGTACGTGCCTCGCCATTCGACAATACAGCACACGACCTACAGGTCTTACACGCGTTCCTCCTTCAAAGAGTCATTCCCACATCAAAGCCTCCATGGTTTGGGCAAACACATGTTCGACTCTCAAGAGTCGTACTACTGTCCGCCTACTTCACCACACCCCCGTACATGCCTCTCCCACCTCGTCCGTCCCATCCACATCGGCGGCCGCTCCCGTGGTGCGGTAGCCAACACGTGCCAACACCGTCAACGGCACTCCTTCCAGCCTGCAGAGTCGCACCAGGGTCGTGAGGAACGAATCGGCGATTCGGGCCCCGGTGGGCAATGACGAAAGGCTGGACAACGATGCCGGCAAAGGAGAGGAGTTGCTGTCCACGCCGCCGCAGGAGAAAGTACACACAACGTCCGATGGAATGGTTGCTGCTTCTGCCGGGATCTGGCCATGCCAGCAGAGGAATGAATTGTTTATTTTGGGGAATGAGAAATGAAGAGGTCGGCGAGCGTGCGTCAGGACAGAGGACAAGAGGTCACGAGCGGTGTGAGGGCGTTCGTTGCTTTATCGGTGTGTGTACGTGGAAGAGAGATCAAGCGAGACATACATCAAGCAAACAAAGGGTAAACGAGCTGCTTTTCCGTGACGCGAAAACGATATGGTAAACCAGCTCGCCTTGTTTGGCAGCACGACAGTACCGTCATCTTCATATCATGCAAACAAGGGACGGTCACTGGTAACAGCCCACGTGCTATAATCGTGCAGGTTCGTCCATGCAGTGCAGGGTTGCACACCTCAAATCAGCAATGGTGATGGCTATGCTGAGCTTTCGTCGGGAAAAAGGCCGCACAACAGGCGCAATCTTAAAGAGATCAGCCACGTCAATCAGCCCAGAGGGGGGTGTTGTTGTTCGATCCACAAAAATCACCTGGTGCCTCTTTGGGGGCTGCACAGCAGCTGCGATGATGAGCCTGTCGAGGGTCGGTCTTCGCGCGACGAGTAGGTCGACGAGAGATAACGACAACGATGCCGATAGGTCCTGGCCAACCGCTGTGTTGAGCTTAAGCAGGGTGACGGACGGCTGAAAACGGGAGAAAACACGCGCGAAGAGGCGAGATAACGCAGCAGGCAGACCCCAAACGGCGGGAGGGAGAAGAGTAAAAACGAGCATGGGCATATTTCGCAGAGGTTGGTTTTCTTGAGGGCACAGGAAACAGGATAGTGGACAGGAGCAAAAACATGAAAACAGGAAAATCGAAAAACTGAAACGCGATGGCAGGTAGGCGGAAACAGGAAAAAAGATTGTCAGATGGAGAGTGAACACTCACAGCCAAGCAGCAGTGCTGCGCTCGAGCAACAGAGAGACCTGCGACACATGTATAGTACGCACAACATGCGGTCTGAAGCACAACCCGAACCTCGTTACGGCCTGGCATACGAAACAACACGAACCTCCATCGCAACCACACCTCGTCAGTACCGCCTGCTGAGCTTTCGAAGTGCACGGCTTCCAAAGCCGGAACCCCATCGAACACCGCAGCCCCCATGCCCGAGAAAGCGAGGGTCTCCCTCCCCGTCTCGCATAACCTCGAACAAGCCCCTCCGCCCGTCATCTGCGATGATCCCGACATGCCTTCAAGAACACCTTTCAAAAGTGGGTTCCACAAGGGAGTCATCGTAGGGGATGGCATCCCACCGATGTTTCGGTACGTGACATTCTTCCTTACGGTATTCTTCGATTTATTACTTCGAAAGTATACACATGAAAACCCAGAATCATTACCCGTTCGAGATATAACCACAGTTTTTCTTTTGAAGAACTCAAAACAGACGTTGTCCTCCGCGTTAAGCCACCTAGCTGCCGCGTGCTGCCTCACTCGCGCCCTCGCACGACACACCGCACTCCCCCACAACTTGCAACTGCAACAAGACTCCGAAACACGACAACGCCTCAACTTGACAACGTGCCGCGGCACGTCAATACAGGAAACCAAACGCATGTGCAATTCATAACCGCCAGCACAACGTGGGTGGTAGCCACACGTGCCATGACTTCAGGCGCCGCGTGCACGCTCGTTGTGAAGGCAGCTTGGGATCGCACATGCGTGATGGGTTCTCTGGTGTTTTGGTCCTCTGTGATGTCTGATGTAGTGCGTGAGCAAGATCTGGTCTACTCGGCTACTCTGTACTTCCGTCGGAAAACAGCAGATTCAGAGCCCTTATGGTGTTGTCCGGCTCACTCGTCCCACAAGCGCGGTTGGTATCGGGACTTCGTCAGTGAACAAGGAAGGAGTACCATTACATGACACAAGATAACACACCCCCTGGACCAATTTTCAAATCTCGATTTCTCAACAACAGAAAGAGTCACAGCGCCGAAAACGGTGGCGTTGAAGCTGTGTCATCGAGAGCTTTCCGATGAAATTTTATTGTTTCATGTTTACATCGTCTTCGCCGTGGCGTAATCCAGCTTTGAAAATTGGTCCAGGGGGTGTGTGATCTTGTGTCAATTACGGCATGCACATGCCGCACGTACATTGTTCATTGTCGACTATACCACAACGAAGAGGATGCCTCAACCAAATGACGCATTTTCGGAAAGCTCTCGACGAGGCGATTTTTTGGTACCGCCACTCTGCTGTGGGGTTATCCAGGTTTGAAAACAGTGTAAGGGAGTGTGGTATCTCACGTCAACGACGGTCTACATTTCAGGAGTGCTCCGTAGTCTCTAGAAAGAATATGCTTGTGACACCAGAATACAGCAGTATTACTTTGCGTGAAATTTGTCACCTATAGGAGGGCAGCAGACAAGTGTTACATAGTGCTGCGGCTGTTGGCATTGTTGATGTTCGTGCAGCCTAGTGCTGGCTCGTGTTGGTGCTCTAATCGTACTACTCTGAAGTCTACTACTGGATGCTTAGCTGCTTGTGGAGAACGAACACTCAAGCACTCACGAATGCCTGCCGCGCCGATGTCACAGTAGCCCAGAATGACAGTTTTGCCCAACCGCTTCGGCGCAGAGAGATTTAAATCCGCCATTTAGTATCCAAGAGCCTCCAGAGCCTGGAATCTGGAATCACAGCGTGTAGACGGAGGGAGATAGGGCTGGGGGGGGGCAGACAGAGCCAGGGCAGAAGAGCAGGAGTCCGAGCCAGTTTCAAGATTTAAACAAGGGGGCTCGCAGAGCGTATTCATCTACTATTTTCTACACCCTGAAGAATCGTAGAGGTTGTGTGCCCCCCAGCCAGCCGGCGAGCACGGCAGCTGGGCTAGCATATCGCATACTGCTGCTGTTCACGGACACCCGCTGCAACCATGTCGAGGCCATCGCGCAGATCTTCTCCACGGCAAGAAGGCAACGTAAGTACGCTGATTGAATAGCGTGCGCGATCGTAAATATCGAACATCACACACACACACACACACACAAACGCGATAGCGAAGCGGAGCTTGGAACTTTGATGTCATCCCCAGCAATGCAATGCAAATGTTTCTCCAGACTACGAAGCCAGCTTGTCCAGGCGTGATGGAGGGCGAAAACGAACAGCAATGTATGGGTGTCTCTGCGTCAAGCGCAAACAAGAGCTCTTGCCTTCGGTGTTCATCGTGGTCGTACGGGAAAGCTTTCTATTATGGCGTATTTCGTGCGTGCATAGCAGCAGAGCAGCCAAGCGAGAGAGAGCACGTTGAATTTGATTTAATCATTTGTGAACATAGTATGCTATACCGGGGTGATTCCGCGACATGGTCCGCAGATGGCGCAAAAAAAAAGGTTCTTCTCTGACGTTTAGTACCGCAGTGTAGACTAGTGTAGAGGGAGGTTCTGCGTTGGTCTTGTGTGAGACGAACGCTTCTTGTGGAGGTCAACCACGCCAAAGAATCGTGCGCTTCTCCACACAGCACCTTTGGAAGCAGGTATCAAGTGGAGTGCGGAGTTGTGAGTGGAAAGACAGTATGCCCCCCCGCCGCCGCGCGCGCTCGTTCGCTTCTCCCTCCTCTCTCTCTCTCTCTCTCTCTCTCTCTCTCTCTCTCTCTCTCTCTCTGTAACCCTTTTGCTGTGCACAATGGCCCGTAACTCTCGAAACTGCGTTGACCACATACAGCCAACCACAACAGCAGAACCCAAAATGTTTTTGGGTCTTTCCTGGGGACTGCGCCGCTGTTGTTGATACACCTGCGTTTGTGACAGAAGATATCACACCCCGTGGACCCATCTTCAAGCTCGATTTTTTCCCCAACCCTAGAATACTTGGAGATGACGAACGTGTTAGCGTTGGAGCCGCCTCGTGGAAAGCTTTCCGAGAACGCTAGGGCATGTGCAGTCGACCTTTGACAATCGGTCCAGGGGGTGTGATATCTTCCGTCACCACTGGTACTGCTGCTGTGTGTTCATATAACGGGGTAGTAGGCATGCATGTTGACATGAACGTCAACCTGCCGCAATCGCGCCGTTTTCGCTAGGTCTCTCGCTGCGCCAAAGACAAGATCAAGAAGAAGGCGCGACTGCCAGCTGCTGGCACCGCCGCCGCCGCTGCCGCCGCCCCAGCTTGCATGAGCGACATCGTGGTGGAGAAGGAGCTGCTGGCCAAGCTGGCGCTCCACAACACGTCGTGTGCGGGCTGCGTAGCCTCCGTCAGGGCCTTGCTTGCGCGTCCGCTGAGGTACCTATGCATAGAACAAATCGGAAAAAAAAGAAGTATGCCTCCAAAAGAGGCGGGTCCCCATGACTTCCTGTATACTGTTTTACAACTTTCTCTGGTTGCAGGCGTGTGGCTTTGCACGTGAGACGATGTGCAGTCCGGGGATGACCCGTCTTCAACCCCTTATGGGACACCATTGCTTCGTGTCCGTGTGCTCGTGTGGATTCCCTTCTTGGACGAGCCCCTGCCGCCCTTGATACACGTACTGTACGAGTTGCGCCAGCAACCAAGGCCGATCGTTCCTAGCTTCGAAGGGGGTCGCGCGGCTGCCGGTGGATCTGGCTTTTCATTTTTTGTCAATGTTACACCGTGCTGAACCCCCATCCCCGGACCGTACTCACGGTCTCGCTGTCTGCCTTCTTGCCTCTAACTTCTGCTGGACCTCGCTTGTTGGCGTCAACGCCAAATGGTCCGTGGAAACGACAACGATACAGCGAGCTCCGGATGCTGAAAGCGGTAGTCGACGAGCACGGCAACGGCGGCGGCATGTCGGGGGCTTTCCGCCTGAAGGAGGCGTACGTCAAGGACCCCAAGAGAATGGGGCAGCTCCTCGACACGTTCCCAATGTCCTCCGTGCTCAAGAAGGTGGGTACTTCGCTGGAAAAAGTTGCATGTTTCGTTGGTTGATGAGACAACTTTTGTTTATAGGCGGAGCATTGACTTCGGCAGCGATCGGCCAAGGCGCAGTGTCCGAATCACGGCACTGCCCAAGTGTTTCCGACGAATGTATATTGACCCAGAAAGGCTGTTCTTCGTCGATGGAGTAATCCAAGGCGAGTTTCTTGAATCTGGGTCTGTTACGCACTGTCGCCATAGGTTAGGCGCATCAATCTCCCCGCGTACACCGCTTTCCCCCAGCTTTTGTTTGGAAATTCCCACCGAGATGCTCAAACCAAACCTACTAACAGCAGCAGCAACAACGACGGAGGGTGAGATTATGTCAGGGTTTGTCCATAATTGGGTACTGTCTGCTGTAGAGCATTCGTGCAGTTCTTGAAATGCGTGTCCGTACGTCTTTGTGAGCACAGATATTTCTTGGTGCAGAGCAACACTTCATCTGTCCTTGACATGTCCAGGGTGGACACCTGCCCCTTACACGCGAGGGTTGACGCAGTTTTCTCCAAGGACACAAAAAATATTTGCTTGTTGTTCTCAGATACAGCCCATGGGCTCGGCCCAGCGCTGCCAGCTTCACCGACGCTTGATCTCCCTGTCGCTAGCCGGGGTGGGCTCTGGCGGGGGGCACCGCGCAGGAGACGGGGGAGGGAGCGGTGGAACCGTTGGTGGCGGCAGAGGAGGAGGAGGCGTTGGGAGCGTGGATTCTTGGGACTGGGAGGACGCTTGGGAGCGAATGCCTCCCAACTTGAGGGTAAGATTCGCCAGTGTGTAGGGGACAAG